GGCCTGCTCCTTCCAAGTGCAACTCGGTCATTCTGGCCACACGTGTATTGGGGAGAGGGACAGAGGAGAAGGCAAACGATGATGGAGAGGGTGAGACGGAGGAGAAGGGGAAGGGGGGGAGTAAGAGGAGGCCTCCGCTCTCGCCCCACTCAGATTCCTCCTGCCTCTCCTCCCTCATCCCTCCCCTCTCCGTCGCACCTACACGTACTTCCACCAAGATCCTTCTCCTCCTCCTCCTCCTCCTCCTCCTCCTCCTCCTCCTCCTCCTCCCCATCTTCCTCCTCCCCGGACTCCTCCCCCCCTTCCCACACCTGTCTTCGCCCTCTCTGGAAAACCGCCGAGCAACGCCTGAAAACCCTCGAGAAAGCCCGAGAAGCTCCGAGAGGCATTCAAAGTCAAAACTCCCAGAACGATCCCCAGGAGCCCCCCGAGGAGCCTCCGAAAGCACAACCCACCGATCGTCCTGGACGGCCGGCTCCAGGGAGCCTACGACAAAAAGGAACCGATACCGCTGCTCCCTGGACCTCTCCAGGAGTGCGCTCTGATAAGAACTTTGACGCGAGCAAAGCCGTTGACGACGATGGAGGGGTAGTGACTATCCTGTCCTCTTCCGGCGATGGGGAGGAGGAGGAGGAGGAGGGAGGAGGGAGTCTCGGGAGGCGATGGTCGAAGGGCGCAGGTCGAGGAGGAGGACGAGGAGGAGGAGAAGGGAAGACAGGGATGATGATGATGATGCTGCTGCTGATGATGATGATGATGATGGTGGTGGTGGTGGTGATGATGATGATGATGATGATGATGATGATGATGATGATGATGCTGATGATGGTGATGATGATGATGATGATGAGGATGATGAGGATGATGATTATGGTGATGATGATAATGATGATAATGATGGTGATGATGGTGAGGAGGGGGAGGAGGAGGAGGAGGAGGAGGAGGAGGAGGAGGAGGAGGAGGAGCTGAGCGCCCCGCTGGTTCTGGCCGGGCCCATCCTGTGCCCAAGATCGGTGAAGATACCTCCAGGAAGAAGTCGGCAGAACAAAACATAAACTGCTGGACCTCCGCACGGACGTCGTGGATCGGCACTGTGTTCCCGTCCTACGCGAACGGCGCCCGTGCACCTTACCGTGCTGGACTCCGTTCAGACACCGCTCCAACGCGACACAGTGCATCATTTGTTCGGCTCTGGGGGCCAGAAACGATGCACCGTAGCATTCCTGCGTCGAAAATCGACGACGCCACGAGAAGCACCAACGGGGTATGGTGCACACAAGTCGTCCGCGGACGTCCCGCCGGAGGCGCCACGCCGCCAGGGGATCCCCAGCGCCGACCCGAGCAATCCGCGCGGAGCTCCGAAAGTATATGTTCGTAACTGCCATTTCTTCTTGGTCGAACCCTGTGCCAATAAGCAGCGTTGGACCGATCCCTATCCCCACTGGCGTAGCCATGGCCCCACTGGCCGATTGACGCCCCTAGATGAGGATGTGTGCTGTTCCCCTCGGGTTTTTGGCGCGGCCTATCCCCAAATTGGGGGGTGTGATGGTGGAGCTGGGCTACGATACCATGGCCCAGTGGAGATGGGGACCGGTCGAACGATACTGAGTCCAGGATCGGGTGAGGCGATCGGTCGACGCTGCCCCCCACAGCAAAAAGCGGGCAGACGACCGGCGAACACGCGCAAGCGGGAGAGGGTGGCTGAGGCAAGGCGGGAGGAGGGCGGGCCTGCTGTGCCAGCTTCGCCAGCACGCGCGGCGGCAAATCCACCGCGGGGTCGGCGCGGATGAAACCCCATCCCTGCCTGCATCGGGCGCAGGGGGCGGCGCTTCGGTGGCGGTCCGGGACCCCCATCGAATGATGACACCCATCACGTCGGGAGGCTGTTCTCCCACTTCCGGCCTCCAGGGGCAGGCACTGCATGGGACCGTCAAAACACGACTCGGGATGCAAAACTAGAACTGGGGAGGAGAGATCGACACCCGTTTTTCTGCGACCTTGCAACCCATGTGCGGATGAGGGAAATCGCCATCTTCCCCACTGAGGGAGAAGGGAACTCCACCATTCGAAGCACCAACGGGGGAGAAGGAAGCCAAGAACAGGAGGGAAAAGAGGACCGGCAGGGAGAGATGGCAGCGCGATTGCCAAGAAGCCCAGCCGTGCACATCGGTCGACGTCTCTGGGGGTCGACGCCGGTCAAACGACAATGGGGGCCCAGGTCCGGTGGCGGCCCTGGCAGAGCCGGCAGCGGCGGCAGACAGGAGGCAGGCCGGTGGCGGGCATGCGGGGCAGGAGGGGAGGGCGAGGGGAGGGAGGCCCAGGCCCCGACCTCCGCTGCAGGGCAGGGGGGAAGCACGGGCGCGAGCGAGGCACGCCGTGCTGGCGGGCCCACCTCGAAGCCGTCGCGCAGGCGCGTTGGCGGGTGCGGGGCGAGCTCCCGCCGCCGCGGCGCTTCTCTGTCGGCAAGAAGCATCCAGGGCCCGAGGGAAACAGGCCCCGGAGCCCGGGGCCTTCCCCAAGACCAACGTTCCGCGCTCGTTCTGTGCCCCTCCCGGGGCCCATGGACGGCCCCGAAGTCCTGAGAACCGTGCAAAACCGCAAGGCCCGTTCTCGCCATCGCTCGGACGTCCATTCCGTGTGCTTTTTTCGGTTTCGTGCGTGTTTTTTCGCCAAATGATCAAGGATGCTCCTCGATGGTCCTCGCCGAAGGACACATGCACACGTCCGAGCGATGCCGAGCATTTCCATCGGACCACGTCTGCTTCACTCGGGTGTCTGTTGACGGGGTGTCCCCTCCTCCTGCACGGTGGCACACTTCGCTGCAGCGGCACCCTCGTTTGGTTAGCCCTCCGTCAGCGCAGCTACTCTGCCTGGCCACCGACGGACACGGTTTGTTGACGGGGGGGCAATGAACACCTGGGCCGAAGCAGCGTGTGCCTGTCGTGCAGCCCGCGGCGTGGGCCCACGGAGGCCGTGTGCCCCTTCAGGGTCACTTTCCTGCAGTCCTCGATCCTTCCACGTTGATTGTCCCATCTATTGGCAGAGGGATTCCGTCACGTGATGCGAAGTTCCCCCGTCCCCACCGATTCCTACTCTCTCTATCCTCCTCCTACTCCTCCTCCGATTCGCATCACGTGACGGATCCAAGTCGCCGACTCTATTTCGTGGGACACAGTATGTGCGGGTCGGGCCCCTGGGCTCCGATCCCGCGGATACGGGGCGCTTGTCCAAGGATGCCCTGCACGGAGCGCATCCATCCGCGCGACCGCGTATCCGCGGGACCGCGCCCCGGAATCCCAGAGACGGATAATTACGTTCGCCGCTCGTGACCGTCGCCGTCCGCCCGATTCATGGCGAGTGCGCTCCTCCTTCCGGCCGGAGGGAGTACCAGCCGACGAGGGGGGGCGGAGGGGCGCGGCCTCGCGGGGGTCGGGAGAGGGTAGACGAGCGCGTTCCTCTACTCGCAAAGTAACTACTCGCAAATGGCCTGGATCCGCCGCGGGGGATCTACGATAAATTCCATCAAAGCAGACCTTCTTTTTTTTTCTGACGTTTGCGAGTAGGCACGTTGCGAGTAGTGGAACGCGCTCGGTGAGAAGGGGGGCCGTGGGGCCAGCCCGGCCTGTGGGGAGGGGGCGAAGGCGATTCGTCCTTGGTGGCCGAAGGAGGGGGAGAGTCGGTGAGCGAAGCCCTGCGCGTCGCCACGCTGGTCCTGGGCAGGCTGTGTTTCAAGGGGCCCAAGGACGCGCAAATACATACACACAAATCCAAGGATTCCCCAAATTGTTCCACATCTTCTGGATTTTCGGCTTCCCCCCCGCTTCCCATATTTTCCCATATTTTCCTGGAGTCGACGATTGAATGTGTCTGTGATTTGTTGTCCCTCCTGAGTGCTGCCCGGCGGAGGGGGAACGAGGGGAGACAAGCAGGCAGACGACGCCGAACGCGCCGGCGGGAGGCCCGGGGCGGCGGGCGGGGGCCGGGGGGGTCGGAGGAGGACACGAACCCAGGCATGCTCGCGTCGTGAAACAATCGCGATGGGAGATCTTTGGTAACGTACTGTTCGGCCTGCGGGGGGCCTCGGGCCCCGGGGCCGTCAAGACAACAACACCAGGGGCGAAAAGCTGGACCTGGAGATAAGGTCAGGGCTTCCGGGGCCGCGCATTGAAATGATCGAGACATCGCATGTTTGGGGATCTATGATCGCCAGGAAGGTGGGGTAGGAATGGTAAAGCTTCGTCGGTTTGCATACAAACAGCCACCCCAAACCCTCCCTGCTGGCCTGAACAGGCCCCCCGGGTACGGAGCCCGGGGCGGTCTCAACACGGCGCCGCCTTTGGCGGCGCTCCCGGGGCGCTCCGCACCCCAGGGTTGAGGTATTGGGACCGCCCTGGACTCTCAGGGGGCTGATTGAGGCCAGTCAGGACTGCCTGGAGGGAAAACCTTACCAAATGGAAACATGAAGTTGGACGGCGCTGAACGTAAATTGGGTTTCCGCCTGCCCCCCTGAAGAGGAAGGCAGAGGGAAACCGCTCGATTGTTGAAATAGGGAGGCGCCTAAAGTGATTTGGTATATGGGAATCCAACAACACGTACTTTCAACAACCAATAGGTACATATTCACCTTTTTGATCCGCTGCTCCCCCTCCGACAAGGAGGGAAAATAATCACAGGTGGACAGGAAGACTGACAAGAACCCGTCGAAGAACTGACAAACCACGGAAACTGCTACATACCAGCCCAGCTGGGCGGCTGGGGCGGCGGAGCCTCAGCAGGGCCAAGCGGGGCCCAGAAAGGACCCCGCCCTTGGATATTTCAGCCCCCAGGGGGGCATCAAGGTGCCGATGCCGCTAATCCCCAGACCTCGCCGATGGTGCGTTCCGACCAGAATTTCGAGGCGGATCCAGCCATGACGACGAGGGCCTCCCAGGAGGCCCCGAAAGGCGAAAACGAGGACAGGACAGCGGTGACGGTGCCTCTCCCTCCTCTGAGCCCCGCCT